TACAGATATGTTAGAAATGTTACACAGAAATGTTACTACAGATATGTAGAAGGTTTTCTTCTACAGTTAGTCCATCGTTTTGATAGCAGCGATAGCGATATCGTCCAAGCAACAATGCGACGAGAGAAAGAGTTCGCATAGATAGCGATTACAGCAACGAAACAAAATTATAAAACAAACAATAACAAAATTATAAAAAATAAAATATTGATTTTTTTGTAAATTTCTCGGTTTCAGCCAAATTCATATAAGTCCAATATCATTATAATATGTTAGTTAGTTCCAAAACCAAACTAAATAATACGAGGGTCTGTAACGTCCAGAATGATTCGGAGTGCTAAGGGTTAACCCTCCGTTGTCACACTGGGTCAAAATAACGTTAAATAACTGGGTCAATATATCGTTTTTTGAAAAAGTGAAATTAACAATGGATTAAATATATTGGAAGCGAGATATCGAGTTCTAATTAAGGAAACGACGTTCTAGAATGTTCGAATAATATTCTCAAATTTTTAGGTCCCAATAGTATTTGCTAGTTTTTGAGCGACAGTCGTTTAAAAATTGCATTTTGTAAACATATGTTTTGTAAAATAAAAATTTTGTACATAGACTGCAAAAAACAGCCCCGTTTTAAATAATTTGGATGAGCTCTAAATAATACAATCGAATTATTAAATTTTTCTAATATAGTGTCGCTATTTTGTTTTTTCTACTCATTTTTCTCATAAATGCATAAAATCCACGGTCTGAGTAGAAGATGTAAATGTCTTTCGTTTGTTATAGCTGAAAACAGAAGACATTATGAATTCTACAATCGGTTACTCAATATATCATCGGGACATTATTAACCCTTTGCACTCGAAGCCATATTAACTGTAAATTTAAATTAACTTTCCCGACTTATGGTATTTCCATTTTAATGACAAAGTTCATTTTATGCATATGAAATTGAGTCTTGTGACTCATACAACAGTTAGACTTTTAACAATTCTTTATACGTAAGCTTTGTTATTATAAAAATTATCTTGGAACGTGGTGTAACAATTTTCGTGGTGCCTCGTAGTCACCACTCGAGTGCAAAGGATTAAACCAGTAAATAAGTCTAAAGTGCATGAAATTAGACGAGCTGTTATAAAAAAAAAACTAAACAAAAGCTACATGTGAAAATGAAATGAAATGACAAATGAAATTACAAATGAAATTAATTGTAAGACTGACTTGCTTCACCACTTCTTTATCTTGTTCTTTCTTATTGATATCGTCTGAAAGAGATCTATAGACGTTCAACATCAAAATCGTCAAACGACAGGCATAGACCACAATTGCAAATGCTGGAAATTTAGTCAATAACAAATCTGTTTTAATTAATTGATCAATTACTATGTTGCATTAACTAGTCCGACGAAGGTCGTGTTACGTTCCAAATATTTTGTTCATTGCTGGACCGCACTATTATCTGGTGATTAATAGACTCGTACTCGTTAGCACATTAATAATGTGTTAACACTATGTATCTTGTCAATTGCAAGTTTACACTACTCGCGTATCACGTTCCAATACGATATCGAGTTGGATGCGCCCTCACACCCATGGTAAATGTAGGTGATGCACGATAAATAGACGCTGCAGTCGATTTCTGATCGATGGGTATTTATACAGTCGAATTCAGACTAATTCATTCTCTTCATCTGGATAAAGTTTGACAGGTAATGGTTCTCTCAACTTATCGGAAAGCGAAATACATTATTAAACAACAAAACTTATTGTTACTGAACAAAATACAGAGTAAAAGAACGAAACATATTTATAAACAGAATACGTACTAAAAAAAAAAAAAAAATATTAGGTCTACCGGAAAGTTCTGTTCGTTTAAGAAATGAAAGGAAATAATCGATTTTTTGTAACTTTAGTAATATTTATTGTACAATATAATTTCCGTCGTTACTTATGACCTCTTGCCGGTGTGATGGCAATTTGTGAGCAACATTTTGTCTCACACGAATATGTGCATATCTATTGAAATTTGCAATGACATTGTCACAGTTATTCTTAGTTATTCATATGTGTTAACGAACTTCCTTCATAAAAATGTTTACAAAAATGAACATTTAGAGGATTGCACTGGAATGCGACGAATAGAATGATAATATACACAACGATCCAATTTTAATCATACTAAATACAATTATAGAAACACGTATGATCGCAATGATATTCATACAAAGAATGCAAAATGAGTTAATTGTAGAAATAGTTAGTATCAAGTACAGTGCTGTAAACAGGTCAAACAGAAAACTGTAAAGAATCAAGAATCATCACAATTATAAAAAGAGCAAGGTCATTTTGTCTCAATTAATGTAGCACAATGAATTTAAACAATTTTTATTTCGCGTGGAGATCCGCAGTCTAATGATAAGACAATGCAGCAATTTACATTGCAGGATCAGATCGAAAAGCTTCGAATTTCCCGAAATCAATCCAATCAACCCAATATTATTAAAGACGAAAGATAATTAAGATTTAACTCTCGCATCCTGCAATTTTTATTTGGCATAAAGATTGCCAATCAGAACCATAATAGTCGCATAAGCTACCAGACTTACTTTAGTCTCTCCACCATAGACAGCAGAAACCATTTAGGCGGCTTTAGTCACGATTCTCCTAGATTGAATGCAAATAGCGTGCAATGCCGAATATGCAGTGGACTGCCACTGTATTCTACGTCACTAATTAGAAAGTTATGTAGGGGATTTCAACATGAGGCACTGTTTCGTTAATTGTTATCGCGACGAACTATAAAAGAACAGAAGAATATGTCCATTCAAAGCTATTATGTCTATGACCTAATCAATTCTTCCGACGAATACAAACAACACAATTTAGAAAATGAAGTACTTTATTCTACAGATGTTACTAGCAAAATATCATTTCATTCTTTTGCTTATGCTCGACACGTTTGTGTTAGTATTATTAGGAAACTGCAGATGATTATGCTAAATAAAAATTGTCGGCATCAAAGTTAAACCGGGCAGACATTAACGTCTGTACTGAACAATTTTTCAATTTCTAAATCTCTCTATTCTTGTCAATTTTACCTATTTGTGTTCGACGTAAATGCATAAAATGTACAATCCAGTCATTAATAGAATTATTGATTTTCTTACGGATCACAAGTTGTCCAACTCCTTATACATCACATACAATAAAATAAAAAAGTAAAACAAGAAAATAAATAGAATAATAATAGAATTAAATAAACCTCAAATAAAATACAATAACTTGTACATAATGAATTTAAAATTATTATGCATTCTAGTTATTAGTACCAAAAATACAGCAGGCAGAGATTCACCGTATTAGAATATCCAGGGGTGCAAAATATATAAATATTTTATGCAAAATAAAGGTTGCCAGCGTCGATCGCAAAATAGAAAAAATTCTTTGTTAGATAGAACAAGATTTTGCAACTGTCGAGGGCTAAATTCTTGAACAATATTCGCCGTGTTATCTCAGCAGCTCCGCGACCGGACCAGGGTTATTCAACTTTCGCGGATTATTTCGCAAGTTATTAAAAACACAACGGATTTTTACGATGGCGAAACATACGACGTGGCGACGCAACGTAGATGTAAAAAGTTCTGTAATAAGAAAAGGGAACTTGCGCTCTTGGAAAATTTTCAACTTGCTTTCTGCTCCGAATCCCCAACTTTTCTTGTTATTAAACTACCGTAATGAATATATTATATTCCACGGAGTGCGCGTGATATCAACATTTCTGATATAATGATAGAAAACCTGAGAATACACTTTTCACTTCGTGTACGCATACTTTGAGAGAAATTCGCTGGGAACACGTTCTAGTGGCTTCGCGTCGAACATTACGCATTTACATTTCCGCAGACAATTCGAACAACTTACGTCGTTTTATTAGAATTCATCGAGCAAATATTTCGTTTTGTCAATTTTCGTTTTCATAGTTTCCCTTATTAATAGAGTTATCGTTTTCATAAGGTATCATCGACATACCGGTTACGCAGGTTATCCTTGGTTCCCGAACCTTATGATCGGTGATCAGATCCTTTAGTCGAATCTGAAACATAAAAGAATACAAATTCAGTCAGAACTGCAAGCTGCATTGCTTTACAGAAAATGATATGTAGATTAGAATATTCGATGATTTAAACATAGTCAACAGTGTATTCAAATCTTTTTAAATTTGTAATTACTGCAAAATGAAACTTCATTCTTTCAACCTTTTATCTCCGAAATAAGTGTCTCTGCGAGAAGAAACCACATTCTAATTAGCAACGACTCTGGCTTAAAATTCTTTTAATCTCTCTACTGTTTAAAATTGCAAAATCAGCGACCTTATATTTCTTTCTTACTTGCGGTGCAAACAGGTTAACAGATATGCGAGTGACAAATTATTTGTTCAGAATTCAAAAATTCATTTTTACACCAATCTATTATAAATTTCCAACTTTATTAGGATTCGTAAAACATAAGAATATTGGAAATGTAACTGATATCATACAACTGAACATTTCAGTTTTAATATGATCAAGCAAAATGCTTGAATTTTATGAAGTTGACGTGACAGATGAGGTATTAAACCGAACTTTTCTTTAAAAAAGCGACAATCATTTTGCTCATGATCCAATAAATTACTTAACACAATATATTTTAATATACGTTATATTATTCAATACAATGTAACGCGTTTATTTGAAATTATTATTTCAAAGAAAATTCCCAAGCTTTCTTTGCATACAGCACCGACATCAAACATCGTGATAATAGGCTTCCGGTAAAAAAAAAGCGTTAAGATCTAACGCTTTACCGTTTCGCGGCAGAAAATGTGAAAAATATAACCCAACAAAAAGGTGGCGCCTATTTCGATTGCGACCAAACAAATTCTCGGGCTCACTCGATATTTCCTCTCACCCACTTCCGCGAATAACCTGCACGGCATCGAGTACTCCTAACGATTAACAACACGAGTGCAATTTGGATAAGAGCGAGTTCCCGGGCTCTCGGCGCGCGTCTAAAATATAAATAGCAAAAAAACCGAAAACCGAATATTCCGCGTCGGCAAAACGTTATTGAACGGCCATCCGGCGAGCACCTCGAATATCCGAGCCACATTTCCATATGTATTATGTAGATCACTATGCGGGAATCCCATCCCAGCGTATACTCGGAATTTCCCACCATCTTTTGGCCGAGCATCAGAGTCTCAGAGATGACATTTGATACACGTGTATCCTTTTACTCCTACTCCGACGGTTTACACAGCGAGGTGTGTATAATAGCGAAAGATATCCTCGCATGTTCCAACATTTCTGGAAATTAATTACATCGAGTCTTACTTTCAGCTGCCAATACATGAGAGAGAGAGTTCGTTATAGCTATAAGTATAGCTAATAATTGTTGAGATATGTTGTTGAGATAATAATTGGTGAGATATATCTTTAATTATTAAGGCACTTCTTCTGAAGTTATCTTTAATTATTGAGACGTATATATACAGGGTGTCCCAAAAATGTCTCGCAAACCGGAAACGGCGGGTTTCTCGGATCATTCGAAGCAACTTCTTCCTTTACAAAAATGTTCTCCGAGGCACCGTTAACGAGTTATTAACGAAAAACAGTGACCAATAAGAATCGAGTACGGCTGACGCGAGGCGGCCCAGCCAACCAGCGCGCGAAGCCCAGTTCCGCTCATTGGCTCGGTCGCCTCGCGCCAGCCGAGCTCGCCTCTCATCGGTCGCTGTTTTTCGTTGATAACTCGTTAACGGTGCCTCGGAGAAAATTTTTGTAAAGGAAAAAGTCGCTTCAAATGACCCGAGGAACCCGCCACTTTGTTAATTTAATAGATTTTCACAAAATATTTTACGATATATTTAGAAAACATATAAATCGAAAATTTCGAATGTACATTCGAAATATTTCATATATGCATTTTCGAAATATATTATAATCTAAATAAATTAATACAAAATTTCACAACAAAAGATACATAGTATCATGGGGATCATTTCTTACCATTATTCTTGTATGGCGTGTTACGAGTTTGCAAATAAGATGTACAATATTTTTTCTGCAATTTTTCTACAGGGTATCAGGAACTGCATAAAATGTATTATGTATTTGATGCTTCTCTCGGTGCCGATGCAGGCAGATATGATACGTAAACGACCCGTTTAGACGAGAAACCCTGCGCATACTTCGAAAATTGCATTTTGGCCAACTTTTTGGACTTTTGGACGCTGTGGTTCGTCGGACCCGAAGAATATCCTCTCGTTCGAATAGAGGAACCCGGTGCCTCTCAGGCGGATGTCGTTCATGTTAATAAACGAGATTTCGTTGCGAAATTCAAGTTTCGTAATTGCACGATAATTGCCATCCGTGCGTCGAGGCTACAAGCCCGGCGAATCTCCCGGATAAAACTCCTTTTATCGCATCAAGGATTAATTTGCCTGTAAGAATAATTAGAGCGCGGAAGATATTTAACGGCACACGCGGAACCATTTCCCCTGGCCGCCTGTTTCTTTAGTTTTTCCTGACGCATTAATCTGCGCAAAATTGGGTCACCGTTTACATAGTTATGAGAAAGATTAGTCACACGGCACGCTTGCGTTGCATTTTCAATGGAGCTTACCTAGGGGAACGGCTAAGGAAGATTCGGGCAGGTTCCCGCGAAAAATCTGGCCTGATTAAAAACGGATTCTGCAGAGCGTCCCGCGGAGGTGCCACGACCTCTTCCGTTTTTATGACAGTTGATTTCGGCCAAAGGTTCCGCTACGTCGTCACGGAAATAATTGCTCTTTGTCGAGTTTCATTCGTGGCCGCTGTTCTCACGAGACTTCAGGATGCTCTGCCTCGTTTATCTAATAAACATACACATTGGCAATTCTGAGCATTTCGCTGCTTTACGTCGTTCAAAAATGAGAGAGGTTTTAAGAACAACAACAACTATTTGATAAACTCGTTAGATCAGAATCAGATAAACTCATTAGATCACAGAATCTGCTTCACGTATTTACCGTATAACAATGTCACAGTTTTTAGTGAAAGTAACTTCTTTCTTAACAAGAAAAATAGTTTGTTTATGCGGAAATATATTGCTAAAGTTATAATTCTACGGACCACAGGAAGTCTCTGTTTTACTCGTCTAATTAAAGGCGTTCCTTTTGCTACTTGTCTGATACACAGGGTGTCCTAGGTTTTTTCGACCAAACGGTATCAGCATATTCCATCAGCGAAAATAAGAAAAAATATCATACGAACATAGGCTCAAAAATGCTTCACTAAAAAATTATAAGAGAAATACGAAATATCAACGGACTGATTTTCGTTCGATGTAAAAATATGTTGGTGGCATTTTCCTTATCTGCGTTTACATATCCAAGCTATGTATCCTAAGCAGTTTAATCTTTCATTAGACGTCAATGCTGTATTTTCAAAAACAGACGACACTTCGAAATGGAGCTAACATATATAGATAAATATTCCCGATTAGTTCGTTGTTGTTTCGTATTTCTCTTATAACTTTTTAATAACACATTTCTCAGCCTATGTTTATATGACATATGACATTTTTTCCTTTTTTTCGCTCGTAGAGTATGCTGATACCGTTTGACCGGAAAAATCTGGGACACCCTGTGTATCTTCTATTTGTCTTACTAAATACATGCTTCCTTTAATGTTCGAATGATGGCAGACTTCCGTTACTTATCTAGCTAAAGGCACACGTATTCCGTTCTTCTAACTGAAGACAGATTTGCTCTACTTATCTGATTACAAAAATACCTCCACCACTTGTCTGACTAAAGCAATACCTCTTCTACTTATCTGGATAAAGATATACTTGCCCTAATTGTCTAGGTAAAGCTATACTTTTTCTACTTGTCTGCCCAAAGACATACCTACTCTACTTGTCGGACTAAGGGCATACATCCTCTACTCGTCTGGTACATTCGAAATATTTCATATATGCATTTTCGAAATATACAGGCTGTCCCAAAAATGTCTCGCAATCTGAAAGTGACGGATTCCTCGGGTCATTTGAAGCAACTTTTTCCTTTACAAAAATTTTCTCCGAGGCGCCGTTAACGAGTTATTAACGAAAAACAGTGACCAATGAATTGCGAGCTCGGCTGGCGCGAGGCGATCGAGCCAATGAGCGGAACTGGGCTTCGCGCGCTGGTTGGCTGGGCCGTCTCGCGTCAGCCGTAATCGATTCTTATTGGTCACTGTTTTTCGTTGATAACTCGTTAACGGTGCCTCGGAGAACATTTTTGTAAAGGAAGAAATTGCTTCAAATGATCTGAGGAACTCACCATTTCTGGTCCGGATTGCGAGACATTTTAACATATTTTCTCCACTTGTCTGGATAAAACCATACCTCCTGCACTTGTCTGATTAAAGCCGTACTTCTGCTACTCAATCGACTGTGCCTAATTTTTGCAAGCCAAAAGCAGTTAGCAATGTTTACCGCGTTAGATTGTTTCACTCAACAGTAGATCTACTAAACATTCCCAACTGTCAATTAAATATTTTAGTAGCACTCTCAAAAAATTGTTGATGCGTCGAATTGAGGAACTTGTGCCATTATTAGAGGTGTGAATTCTTGGATATCAAGTATTGTTGGTCCACTCGATTCTTTGTTGTACTCCACAAATATTTTTAACAGCGTTTTTAACTAGATTACCTTTTTAAATGCATACAGAATTTGATATCGATGATTTCGTTAGCACAGTTTTTAAACAATCTGGACAACACATGGACCGAATTTAAATTCAAAATATCATTTCAGTTGTTGCAAATAGATATATTGGACTAATATAAGATAATGTAAGATAATAAACTAAAAGATATGTCAGGTATTAAATTAGAAGATATGCATAAGATATTAAATTAAAAGATGTATAAGAGAATACATTAACACAATGAATCTGATAAAAGAAAGGAAATCACAGGAAAAAGTCACTCTAAAAATACACTTCAAACAAAATATAATTGTATATACGCGAAAAATAGCAACAAGTAACAATACAATTCACAGAATATCCTAATAGAGCATTCTACA